CCGCCGTGGGGGCGCCGTCCAGCTGCAGCCGCTCGAAGCGCAGCACCACCACACTGGGCGCGGGCACTGCGATGGTCCAGCTGCAGTTCAAGGGCCCCCCGGCCGCCTCGATGCGCCCCTTGGGGCTCGCCAGATGGGCCGGCGGCCCGCACACGCCGCCCCCGTGCGCCCCACTAAACAACGCCAACCAAACCAGGCTGCGCCACCGTGACATTTTGCGTCAACAACCCGTTGCCAGCGCCGCATGGCCATGGGTGCGACCGAGAGGGGAATAGTTTGGACGGCAGTTGGGAAAAATTGCGGGCGGTTTTTTCCAAAGTTTTTGCGTCAAATGAGGGCGTTGTTGTCACGTTGGCCCAATTGACAGCCAGGTGCGGGCGACAGCAGGTGTTGCAAGTGACAGTTCTGTCAAGTGTTGAGCGAACGTCAGTGGGCTGCGCCCTTCGAGCTCCGCAGACAGGTAAGGGCGGGGCGGCGCCCCGTTTGGCCCCCTTGCATGAGTCAGCCGTCCCCGAATCAATCAGTGTCATTGATGGGGCTTATCAAGCCTTCGGCGCGCGATACGGCTTCGGTTTAGTCATCGCATGCAGTCGAGCGGACCGAAATCGGGCCTTCGCACCGTCCAGTCCACTCGGCCGTTGCCTGATCCGTTGTTTTCGTTCATTTGCAGATTGAACCACACGAGCCAGAGAGAGCGAGAGAACGAAGCATGGGCGCGCGACATTCCAAACGGTCGGTTGATATCACAACGACGCCCAAAAAGGGCGGGGAGGGCGACGACGCCAAGCTGGAAGCCGTCGGGGAGCCCGACGTGAAGGCCGCCACCAATGGGGGCCTGCCCAGCGACATTGAGTTTGCGGTAAGTCGGGCTGGGGGCGCCACTGCAGCCGCCCTTGAACTGGGTGAGGATGACTTGCATCGGGCGTGGCCCGTTGTCAGGACAACGCAAGTCAATGGCCGTCACGCCGCCCTGATTTCGGCCAATCAGTGGAACTGTCGTCTGAATCACCCACGACAACGGCGACCTGCGAGCATGGCGGTGGCTAGAGGCCGGAGGTGATCGGTTTATTTGTGCAGGACAAAGACGAGTCGTCCAAGGAGGAGGAGGAGGCGGTGGAGGTGAAGGAGAACGGCGTGCCTGAGGAGGCGCCCGCGAGCGAGGAGACGCCGGAGGTGACCACGCCCAAGGCGGACGAACCCACCGAGCCGAAGAAGAAGAAGGAGAAGAAGAAAAAGTGGTCATTCCGATCGATTTCCTTTTCGCGCAAGGACAAGTCCAAGCCCTCCAAGGAGGGCGGCAGCGACAAGAACGGCGACGTTGCCGAACTGGCCGAGGAGGTGAGTGCCGCTCTAGCCACTGCAACATCGCAGGTTTTTCCAGTACATCACGCCGGCCTTGGCCTCGCCTGATCTACTTGACGTTTATTAATAAACCGACAACAATGGCTTCCGGTGGGGCCGCGCCCACCCCAGCCGGTTTGCGTGGGCGGCCGCCAGGTGGCTGCGACAAGCGGCGCGCTGTTGAGCAGGTTAGCACCCGAGTGGGCGCCTGTGTCGCCCACAAAGCGCGCAGGGCGCATGCCCCCAACGACTTAAATAGCCCGAACGGCCCCCGGCGTCAGTCAGTTCGACGCCACTGCCCCGACCGGTTGCCAACGGCAATGGATTTCGATGAGGGCGCGGCTTGGGCGGCGTTGCCGCTCGTTCTGCTCACAGTCGCCCTGGCTTTTCTCGTGAAAATGTGCGCCTGGACGCCTGCCGCCCGCCTGGTTGGTATATTGGTGCTTCTCGGGACATTCTGCCCAGTCTGGCAGCGTCGGCCCATTTGATTCGTTTTTTCAGCGCACACTAACGGGGGTTTTTTCCAGAGCGCCGACTCGGACAAGACGCCCAGCCCAGAGGGCGTGGCCCCGGTCGAAGGTGAAGCGCCTGCGCCGCTGACCAACGGCGACAGCGCCGCCCCAGAACCGCCGGCGGAACCTGCGCTCGCCCAGCAGGAGGAGCCTGTCAAGGCGGACGTTGCCCCCAGCACAGTGCAGCCAGTCCAGGAGGAGGCGGTTGCCCACAAAGAGGAGGCACCTCTGCAAGTGGCACAATCTGCGCAACAAGAGGAGCAGCCGCCCGTGAAAGAGGAGCCGAAGCCCGTGAAAGAGGAGCCAAAGCCTGCAGAAGAGGAGCTACCGGCCGCCACAGTGGAAGAAGAGGCGGTAGACACACAGCCGGAAGCAGTGGAGGTGGTGGAGCCCAGTATAGAGGTGCCGCCCCCACTGCCCGCCTCCAACCCGCCCTCGCCCGTCACCGTTTTCGCCGAGTCCACCAAGGCGGAGGCGGCGCTGACGTCCGGGCAGCTGCCGTTGGAGGAGGCGGAGCCCGTGGCGCAGGTGGCGCAGATTCCCCTCCCAGTGGAGCAGGAGGTGGCCAAGCCCGACCCCTCCCCCTCGATGGAGGAGCTGCCGCCCGCGCCCCCATCGCCCGTTCCCGAGGTGGAGCCGCCGGCGGAGCCTGCCGAGGAGGAGGGGCCGGCCACGCCCCCGCCGACTCTTTGCCCGATATTTCGACAGAGTCGCTGCCCAGCCTGCCGGAAGCAGTTTCCGAAAGCCTGGCGCCCCTCTCGCTTCCGCCCGTGGACGTGGTCCCCGCCCCCATCGCCGACACGCCCTCGCCGCCCCCAGCAGCGGCGCCGCTCACCAATGGCAACGTCAACGGCCACAGCTCGCCGTCACCTGTCACAGAGGCCGCGCCCCCGCTCCCCACTAAACAGGTGAGTGCTTGGCCACGCCCCCTTGCGCCTGTTTGACTGATGTTGGTTTTCCAGATTAATGCCGATAAAGAGTGCGAAATCATCACGGAGGCCGGCGATATTCCGATTGACAGCACGGTAAGTGTCACTGGTTGTTGTGGTTGTTGCCGTGGTAACTAGGGGGCGTGTTCCAGGTGGCCACGTCCGAGGAATAGCCAGTGGGCGGGGCCTAAGAGCAGAGCAGGTGCATTCCCGGGCGGTCCCGCCCCCACCACTGTGCGAGCGACCAATAATCAAGGACCCAATAAAACGGAAACTGCCATATTTCAATTACTACTAAACGCAACGGTTGGCGTCGGCGCACGCAAATTTTATTAGTTAAATCGTCTCAAATACTCTTCACCCCCCACCCCTCACTCACTCACTCCAATTTTTATAAATGTTTTATATTTAATCTTTTTTAGTATTTTGTTTCAATTTTTGGACAATTTTATATTATATATGTACTTTTTTTATCGTATACAATTGTATAGTAATAAAAGATAGAGGTTAGGTTTTTAGCCAGTAGCGATGGCAACTATGCCCGTATATAAGTTAGCGGCTAGTTTTAATGATGGAGTGTGGGGGGCGTGGGCGTGAGGCCACGCCCCCCAATAGCTTTTCTAGTATACGGTTGGTGTGAATGGTTGCCGGTTTGTGCGAAACTCGACCGACTTATCAGGATGGCTGTGCGGTTTGGTGCGTGAACCGGTTCTCTTGTAGGTGTGTTTGCGTTTATATATGAACTCTGGATGAATAAATACTATTAAGGTGTTTCCTAAAATTGGGCGTGTTTTCTTTGCGGGCCCCCAGCCCTGTTGCCAACGCGTCGACTCAGCGAGTTTATAGGCCGCCGCTTGGGTGAGGTTAAGTGCTTGTTTGTTGACAAATCGGTCAGAGATTCGGGTGGTAGTGGCCGCTAATGGAGCCCCAAATTGATGAATTGCAAGTAAGTGGGCCCCTAGTCTAAGCATGAGCGTGCTGGCGCTCCAGTTCGGGCAGTGCGGCAACCAGTTGGGGCACAGCCTCTTCCGGCTGCTAGAGGAGGACCAGCCGGGGCTGCACCGCTGGTTCGTGCCACAGGGGGGCGCCGAGTGGCGGCCCAGGGCTGTGCTGGTGGACACCGAAACCAAAGTGGTGGACGCCGTTAAGGGCAGCTTCCAGGGAGTGGGGGTGGTGGCGCCGCCCCTGGGCGGCTCTGCTAACAATTGGGCCTGCGGCTACACCGAAACGGGGCCCCTGCTGGTGGAGGACGTGCTGAACTGCGTGCGAGTGGAGGCGGAGCGCTGCGACTTCCTGCTGTCGTTCCTGGGGCTGTTGAGCCTGGCGGGGGGCACGGGCTCGGGCGTGGGCAGCCGCGTCCTGGAGCAGCTGCGCCTTGACTACCCCAAAAAGACGCTCGTCAACTGCGTGGTGCTGCCGCACCCCACAGGCGAAATCGCCACGCAGGGCTTCAACTGTCTCCTGAGCCTGGCCCGGATGTACCCGCTGGCGCAAGCCACTGTGCTCCTGGGGAACGCGCCCAACCGGGCGCTGGCGCTCCAACTGGCCGCCCTTCTGCAGCCGCTGCCTGCCGTCAGCGTGGCGCAGCTTTGCGCCCAGCTGGCGCCCCATCCAGGGCTGCGCCTCCTGCAGGTGCGCCCGCCCAGTGAGGACGCGCCCCACTACGCGCTGAAGCGATTGATGGCGGGGCCCAGCCAGAAAGTGGTGGCGCAGGCGCTGATCCAGCGGGGCGACGCGCCGCTGCCTGCGGCGCTGCAGCGCCAGTTCGTCCAGAGCGTGGAGGGGGTGGACTGGGTGCCCCAGGCGCAGATTGGGCGCATCTGGAGGACGGACCGCGGGCTGCTGGGGCGCCCGCGCCTGTTGTCCAGGGTGTCAAATAGCGGGGGGCTGGCGCCCCTTGACGCCCTGGTGTCGGACGCCTGGGGCGCCTTCACCCACGGCGCCTACGTCCATCACTATTCCAAGTTCGGCGTGGACGCCCAGTGGTTCCTGGACGCCTTCCAGGACGTCGAGGACGTCCTGGGCGCCTACCGGGCGCTTTGATTGATTAAATTGTTGTTTTTCGGTGAAACGGTGGTTTTATTGCAGTGGACCCAAGTGGAGAAGAACCAGCTGTTGGCGGCGCTGCGCCGCCACGGCGCCCAGGATCTGAACGCGCTGTGCAGCGCCGTCCCCGGGCGCTCGCTGATCGACATCAGGCGCGCCATCGACCACTACAAGCAGCGCGCCCACCAGTCCTGGGCGGCCAAGCGCGCCCCCGACAGCCTGCGCGAGTGGCTCGAGGTGATGGTCAAGCTGTGCCCTGAGTGCGCCCCCTGCATCCAGGACATCGTGCCGCGCGCCCTCAAGTACATCGCCCTGTTCGAGAAGCGCGCCCCGGGCGCCGACGTGGACCTCAGGTAAGCGCCGCGGCGCCCCCGTTGAGCAGCGGCTGACCGGGGCGCCACAGCGCCCTGTACTTGTACCTGTCGCAGTTGTGTTGCGAGTTCCCCAACACGGCGCTGACCGAGCGCGAGCGGGTGGCGCTCAACGGGGCGCTGCAGCGCCTGGAGCAGCGGGCGCATGCCAAGGACACGGCGCCGCTGCGCGCC